GCACAAGGGGACAAAGTTCCACTGACCACCAGCACAAGGTGGAAAAATGCCACTGACCACCAGCACAAGGGGGCAAAGTTCCACTGACCACCAGCACAAAGGGGGCAAAGTTCCACTGACCACCAGCACAAGGGGGCAAAGTTCCACTGACCACCAGCACAAGGGGGCAAAGTTCCACTGACCACCAGCACAAGGGGGAAAAGTTCCACTGACCACCAGCACAAGGGGGCAAAGTTCCACTGACCACCAGCACAAGGGGGCAAAGTTCCACTGACCACCAGCACAAGGGAGCAAAGTTCTACTGATCACCAGCATAAGGGGGCAAAGTTCCACTGACCACCAGCACAAGGGGGCAAAGTTCCACTGACCACCAGCACAAGGGGTCAAAGTTCCACTGACCACCAGCACAAGGGGTCAAAGTTCCACTGACCACCAGCACAAGAGGGAAAAGTTCCACTGATCACCAGCACAAGGAGGCAGAGTTCCACTGACTACCAGAACGAAGGGGCAAGTTCCATAGACCACCATCACAAGGGGGCAAAGTTCCACTGACCACCAGCACAAGCTAAAATCTTGTGTTAATAAAAACAAATGTATTAAAGCTCATAGCCAGTCCAATATATATATATATCCTTGGCAGCGCACTGACCGGTCATGCAAAAGCTTGGACAAGTGGCAGCTAATGAGTCATGGCTTGTGACGTCATTGCCTGGTACTACTACTCCTTTCTGAACATGTGCAAGGCCCCTATGTGCACTGTTATCCAATGGCTACTGGCTGATGCTGGGGGACGACTTGGCTCATGTACCGGGGGGACTTGCGTGCCCATGCGGCCGACACATAGGTTTGCTTGGTATATAGCCCGAGTTTGGTGCCGTCTACAGCGTGCCTTATATTCTTTGCTTGTTCAGTTTACCACTTGGTATCTTTCAGAATTCTGAAAGAATATGAGATTTTTGTGAGAAGTTGTTGAGGGTTTTAGCATGCTGTTTGTGCAGACATAGTCTACAATAGTTCTAAATCCCCCACTGTGATTATTGGTTCTTTCTGCTTGTACTGTTATGTTAAAAAGAAAGGAGGCCCCATGCAACATCTGTGTGTCAAGCAACATCTGAATAGTGAGATGACATATTTGCAGCAGCCTCCAAACAGGTGGAGTGAGCACATAAAGTATCATTATTCAGATGTGCCTAGACGGCTGATGCAAAAGTGATAGGTGCAGTGTGTGGTGGTGCGCTGATTCACTTTGGCACAACTGATGCTTACAAACCTGAATGAAGATTTGTGAAGCAGATACAGTATAATAGCAGTGATGTGAACCTTTTAAGACCTAGTGCCCCAAAACTGGTCACCCAAAAACCCCACTTATGTATCCGCAAAGTGCCAACACTTGCAATTAAACCTGAAGAGGTTTTAGTTTAGAAAAAACAACCCATACAAAAACACAATAACAGAGCTTCCCAATGACCACCAGCACAAGGGGGCAGAGTTCCACTGATCACAGCACAAGTACACTGGGGCAAAGTGCCACTGAAACCAGCACAAGGGGGCAAAGTTCCACTGACCACCAGCTAAAGGGGGCAATGTTCCACTGACCACCAGCTAAACAAAGTTCCAATGATCACCAGCACTAGGAGGCAAAGTTCCACTGACCACCAGCACAAGGGACAAAGTTACTGACCACCAGCACAAGGTGGAAAAATGCCACTGACCACCAGCACAAGGGGGCAAAGTTCCACTGACCACCAGCACAAGGGGGCAAAGTTTTGTCGGAGGTTGGCCACTGACCACACAGCACAAGGGGGCAAAAGTTCCACTGACCACCAGCACAAGGGGCAAAGTTCCACTGACCACCAGCACAAGGGGGAAAAGTTCCACTACTCTTCACAAGGGGGCAAAGTTCTACTGTCCCAGCACAAGGGGGCAAAGTTCCACTGACTTCACCAGCACAAGGGAGCAAAGTTCTACTGATCAACCAGCATTAGGGGGCAAAGTTCCATGACCACCAGCACAAGGGGGCAAAGTTCCAACTGACCTCCAAATATCAAGGGGTCAAAGTTCCACTGACCACCAGCAAGCAAGGGGTCATACTGACCAAGCACAAGAGGGAAAAGTTCCACTGATCACCACAGCACAAGGAGGCATTCCACTGACTACCAGAACGAAGGGGCAAGTTCCAAGACCACCATCACAAGGGGGCAAATTCCAGCTGACCACCAGCACAAGCTAAATCTTGTGTTAATAAAAACAAATGTATTAAAGCTCATAGCCAGTCCAATATATATATATATCCTTGGCAGCGCACTGACCGGTCATGCAAAAGCTTGGACAAGTGGCAGCTAATGAGTCATGGCTTGTGTGACGTCATTGCATGGTACTATCTACTATCCTTTCTGAACATGGTGCAAGGCCCCTATGTGCACTGTTATCCAATGCTTGGCTATCCTGGGGTGATGCTGGGGCGACTTGGCTCATGTACCGACACAGAGGGCCTCGTGCCCACTGCGGCACGCGTGCCATACCACTGGTATAAGGCAAAAGAGTTTCGATTTGGTGCCGTCTACAGTAAATATCCCCCATTCTCCTTATATTCTTTGTACTTGTTCAGTTGGTATCTTTCAGAAAGTTTCTGTTGAAGAGGTTTGTTTATGATTTTTTCTGATCCTCAGTCAGTACAACTGGTCAGACATAATTAACACATCACATTTTAATATTTTGGTTGATGAACTACTTAATTAAAAAAATACAGACATAAGTACTTATAATTTGTGTTGTCATGGAGCTTTAAGATCAATTATTTTTTCTGTCTTGGTTGCTTATGTCATTTGAAAGGTTATTCTGCAAATTCCCATGCAAATGATAAAGGAAAATTTGCTTTCCGCAAGAAAAAACAATAAGATTAGCCCCGTCAAGTGTTATAGATACTCTTCCACTCTAGAAATAACGAGTGCTCACAGCATCTACTCCTTGATCCTTTCTTTCATCCTAATATCTTTGTTTAATCCTCCGCATAATAAGAGATATTTCCAGTTGATTTGCTGTAACATCTGCACATGAAGATTTGCATATGACATTCAATTAATGGAGGACTAAAAAATGCTTTTTATCTTAGTAAAAGTCCAGTACAGTATATAAACCTTTGGTCCCTGAACTGTTATAAAACTTCTTAAAAGTGGTTGTAAACCTCAGACATGAAATAATGAACAAAGCATATCCTGATATAGTGTGTGTACTTGTCTTAATTAAAAGCACTAATTATCATTTCTGTCTGCCGCTTTGCTCCTCTGCTATCTGTGTGAGTCACTCCTGACAAGTTTTCCTGACACACACAAGAGTAAAATGGTGATGGGGGAAGGACCTCCAGCTGATTGACAGCCTCAGCTCTGTTCCTGTGCAATGTAAAGGGGGTGTGTCTCTTCCCTCCAATCAGCTCTCAGAGCTCTCCTCGCTGAGCTCTGCAGAGTGTAACTTCAGCCTCCGCCCCCTTTTTTCTGAACTCTCAGACACGTTATAAATTCTGCACTTTAAAATGGCTGTGGAGAAGAGAAGACTGCAGATAGACAGGTACAAATGTCAGGGCTCCAGGGTATGACCAGAGGTATGTGACTGACGCAGGGAAACGCAGGCTTCAGATAAGTTATAAACAATATAATTTATTAAAGACTAACAATACAAACATAAACGCAGTGCAATACTAAAACATAACACAGTGCAAACGAACCGAACCAACCACAGATAACAATACATACAATGCAAGCGTCGTCAGGCAGGCCGGGTCAATAACAAATGGGCAGGTAGGAACAGGAGGAGCAAGCAGAGAGTAGTCAGGTCACGAGCCGGGTACAGCAGCTAACAGGCAAGTAGGTACAGGTGGTCAGGCAGAGAATGGTCGGGGTCACAAGCCAGGGATCAGAACAGGAGAAGTCAGCAGAGGTCAGGATCAAGCAGGGTCAGCAACAGGACAGGGACAGGGACAGGAATGCAGGAACAAGATACAGGGCCCGGGAAAAACACACACACCAAGGCCAAGACTGCAGGTCTGGCCATCACTTAAATACACCTGCATAAGCAGCTTCAGGTGTTTGGCTGGCTGCAGGGTTGAGTCTCTGATTGCTGGGAGCACCCGCTTGCCAGCCCTGGTACTGCAGCCCACAAGGCGGGTGAGTCCCACCATTACTGGCAAGTCCATTCCTGACAGTACCCCCCCCCTCCTCAAGGAGCGGCCTCAGGATGCTCCAAACAGTCCTAGCTGGGCAAAATGTTCCACCGCCCGGGTCTGGTAACTGGCGGGATATCAAAGACTGGCACATCGGGCTGGACTCCGGGCAGAGGCACATCGGGCTGGACTCCGGGCAGAGGCACATCGGGCTGGACTCCGGGCAGAGGCACATCGGGCTGGACTCCCAGGAGGAGCACAGAGGCACATCGGGATCAGGGGCGGGGCGACAGGCGCCGGACCCCCAGGAGGAGCGACAGGCGCCGGACCCCCCAGGCGGAGTGACAGGTCTCGGGCCCCCAGGCGGAGCGACAGGGTGCCGGACCCCCCCAGGCGGAGCGACAGGTCTCGGGCCCCCAGGCGGGGCGACAGGTCTCGGGCCCCCAGGCGGGGCGGCGGGCGCCGGACCCCCAGGCGGAGCGACAGGTCTCGGGCCCCCCAGGTGGAGCAGCGGGCGCCGGACCCCAGGCGGAGCGACAGGTCTCGGGCCCCCAGGCGGAGCGGCGGGGGCACCGGGACCCCCAAGTGGAGCAACAGGTCTCGGGCCCCCAGGCGGAGCGACCGGCACCGAGTCACCAGGCACGACAGTGGGCTCCGAGTCAACTGGCATGACCACGGGCACTGGGTCAGACATTGGATCGTCTGTCTGGACAGCGGGCATCGGGTCACCAGGCATCAGGTCATTTGGCTCGACAGTGGGCAACCGCGTCATCTGGCAAGGCAGTGGGCACCAAGTCACCAGGCATGACAGTGGGCTCTGAGTCAATTGGCACGACAGCGGGCACCGGGTCATCAGGTACCGGATCGTCTGGCTCGACAGCGGGCATCGGATCACCAGGCATGACCGCGGGCACTGGGTCATCAGGCATTGGATCGTCTGGCTCGACAGCGGGCATCGGGTCACCAGGCATGACAGCGGGCACTGTGTCATCAGGCATTGGATTGTCTGGCTCGACAGCGGGCATCGGGTCACCAGGTATGACAGCGGGCACTGGGTCACCAGGCATCAGGTCATTTGGCTCGCCAGCGGGCACCGCGTCATCTGGCAAGGTAGTGGGCACCGAGTCACCAGGCACGACAGTGGGCTCCGAGTCACCAGGCATGACCGCGGACACTGGGTCAGACATTGGATCGTCTGGCTCGACAGCAGGCATCGGGTCATCAGGTACCGGATCATCTGGATCGACAGCGGGCACCGGGTCATCTGGCGTTGGATCATCTGGCTTGGCAGCGGGCATCGGGTCACCAGGCATGACAGCAGGCACTGGGTCATCAGGTACCAGATCGTCTGGATGGACAGCGGGCACCGGGTCACCAGGTATGACAGCGGGCACTGGGTCATCAGGCATGATAGGATCATCAGGTTGGATCAGTTCATCAGGCTGGATCAGTTCATCAGGCTGGGTACAGACATCAGGCTGAAGTGCGGGTGCCGAGGCACCAGGCTGAACCACGGAAGGCCGGTTCTCAGACGGCAGGCTCACCGGTTTGGATACTGGCAGGATGGTATTGGTTGGAAAGAATTTTCGCTTTTTTCTGGTTTTAACTACTGGAGCACTGCAAGTAAATGCAGGTCTGCAAACAAATGGAGCAGCTGGAGACAGAGAAGAGCTGGAGGATGGAACAGGGGAGGGAACAGTTGCTACAGAGGGCTTTTTTACAGGGTTAAAGGCAGGATAGGTGCAGCGAGTGGGAACAGGGTACTGACATGCGGTAGATAGCAGGGTATACTGGGCTGTAACTGGAGGTGCTGTTGGGAATGCAGGAATAGAGCTTTGAGGAAATAGATTAGAAGCAGGATGGGTTTTTGTAAGCTGACTGAGGCTGGGTGCAACAAATCTGACCATGTCTGCAGTATGGGTTGAACAAAGCTGAGCTTACACAAAGCCTGTCTGGTCAAAGACTGCACTGCGTTTATACAATCCCTTAATACCTGTGGTGAACATGCAGCATAATGCTCCAAGAAGCAATCCACATCATCCTCTAATAACCATACCAGGGACTCTACCTGGTCTGCACTAAATGGTGGCAAAAAGTCATTCCTGCTTTCAGGGGTACCAGATGAAGCCAACTCTACACAAACCTGAATCAAAGGTTGCACCTCAGAGAACTCTGTGCCCTGATCTACTAGAACATGAGCGATCCGTATACATTCTAGCAGTTGATCCCGGGTATACTCCCTCAGAGCCTGATAGGCATATTCTCTGTCATCAAAAACCAGCAGCGACAAATACACAACCTCATCAAGATCCATCTTTCCCAGCAACAAGCCAAGATGGCTTCCCTGTGCAGCCACTTCTGGTCAGGATTGGCCTTGGTGTAATGTCAGGGCTCCAGGGTATGACCAGAGGTATGTGACTGACGCAGGGAAACGCAGGCTTCAGATAAGTTATAAACAGTATAATTTATTAAAGACTAACAATACAAACATAAACGCAGTGCAATACTAAAACATAACACAGTGCAAACGAACCGAACCACCCACAGATAACAATACATACAATGCAAGCGTCGTCAGGCAGGCCGGGTCAATAACAAACGGGCAGGTAGGAACAGGAGAAGCAAGCAGAGAGTAGTCAGGTCACGAGCCGGGTTACAGCAACTAACAGGCAGGTAGGTACAGGGGGTCAGGCAGAGAATGGTCGGGGTCACAAACCAGGGATCAGAACAGGAGAAGTCAGCAGAGGTCAGGATCAAGCAGGGTCAGCAACAGGACAGGGACAGGAATGCAGGAACAACATACAGGGCCCGGGAAAAACACACACACACCAAGGCAAGACTGCAGGTCTGGCCATCACTTAAATACACCTGCATAAGCAGCTTCAGGTGTTTGGCTGGCTGCAGGGTTGAGTCTCTGATTGCTGGGAGCACCTGCTGGCCAGCCCTGGTACTGCAGCCCACAAGGACAGGTGAGTCCCACCATTACTGGCAAGTCCATTCCTGACAACAAGTGTAGGAGGATTTGTTTCATTTCTTTGTATCACCCGTGGATAACCATTTCACTGGGAATATGTAAGGGTTTACAATCACTTTAAAGGAAATCTGTAGACTTTGTTTAACCACTTGCCCTCCTGAGGATTTACCCCCCTTAATGACCAGGCCCCTTTTTGCTACTCAGCTCTGCAGTAATTCAACTGATAATTGTGCGGTCATGCATTGCTGCACCCAAACGAAATGTATGTCCTTTTTTTTTCACACAAATAGAGCTTTCTTTCGGTGGTATTTGATCACCTGTGTGCTTTTTATATTTTTCACGCTATAAACAAAAAAGATTTTGAAGAAAAACTATATTTTTTACTTTCAGCTATAAAAAATATATAGTAAACTCAAAGTTAGTTATAAATTTAGGCCAAAATGTATTCTGCTACATGTTTTTGGTAAAAAATCCCAATAAGTGTATATTGATTGCTTTGTGTGTGAAAGTTATAGCGTCTACAAACTATGGTATAAATACTGCAATTTACGCCATTTTTTGGCTATACAGCATTGCGCTAGTTTAACGGACAATTGCGCGGTCATGCAATATGGTACATAAATGAAATTTACATCCTTTTTTTCGCCACAAATTGAGCTTTCTTTCGGTGGTATTTGATCGCCCCGTGCAGTTTTTATTTTTTGTGCTATAAAAAACAAGGCTGACAATTTTGAGGAATAAAAACAATATTTTGTACTTTCTGCTATAAAATATGTCCAGTAAAAAAAAATTTAAAACTCAAATTTAGTCATAAATTTCTGCCAAAATGCATTCTGCGACATGTCTTTGCTACAAAAAGCCAATACGTGTAAATTAATTGGTTTACGTGAAAGTTACAGCATTTAAAAATGGCGGGAAAGATACTGGGATTTTAAATTTTTTTTATACTAATAATGGTGGCGATCAGCGACTTATGGCGGCGATCAGTGACTTATGGCGGCGATCAGCGACTTATGGCGGGACTGCGGCAAACATTCTGACACTGGGGGGGGGGACTGACTTGGGGTCACTGACATCCCCAGTGACACCGATACAGTGATCAGTGCAAAAAAAAAAAAAAACACACTGACACTGTACTAATGGCACTGGGGAGGAAGGGGTTAACTTTATTATTCAGTGAAAGGGTTAACTGTGTGAGGGGCGTGTTTTGCTAGGGGGCGGGGGTGTGTACTGCAGGGAACACCGCTGATCAGGAGAGATAAACTCTTCTCCCCCGATCAGCCTGTCAGGAGCTGTCAGGGAACTGACAGAAAGCACAGCTACTGCAGCCCTGATCTCTGTCACTGATTGCCGCTAATCGCTGGGACATAGCCGGTAATGACCGGGATCTGTTCCCGGGATAAAGCCGATGACATATCACTACACCGACCCATTGCCAGTGTCATGTGACCGCTGTGACCAATCACAGCAGATCACATGTCAATTGTATACAATGGATAGCTTCCTGTCATGCCATCCATTGTATACAATTATGTTGTTAGCTGTGACTGGTCAAGGCAGTCACATGATGCAGGCAGGGCCAATCAAAGCCCATCTGTATCATTTGTTCAGCTTTGCCCAATCACAGCTAATCATAACAAAAGACTGAATGAATCAGTTTCATTCAGTAACAATGATTGCAAATATCAATGAAATACATTAGTATTAGCAATCATAATGTGTAAAAAAAATCCTGATCACTTACCCAGAGTAGTTCAATGTGATTATGGTAACATTGTATTGCTGTGATCACAGTGTGTTGAAAAATAAAATCGTAAAAAAAAAAGAAAAGAAATGTAATAAGAAATAAAAAATAGAAACATTTGAAAAAAAATACAAATTCAATTTGTATTATTATTTTCGCCAAAGAGATGTAGCAGAATAAATTTTGACCTAAATTTATGTAGAAAGTTTATTTATTTACAACATTTTAAAACAAAAATGAAGAAAAGTGTTTTTTTTTTTTTCAAAAGTTTCAGGTGTTTTTTGTTTTATTTAGCAAAAAATAAAAACTCAGTGGTGATTAAATACCACCAAAAGAAAGCTCTATTTGTGTGAAAAAAATTATAAAAATATCATATAGGTACAGTCTTGCATGACCACGCAATTGTCACTCAAAGTGTGACAGCGCTGAAAGCTGAAAAATGGCCAGGGCAGGAAGGGGGTATAAGTGCCCGGTATTGAAGTGGTTAAATCAGAAAATGCAAAGCATTCATTGCAAAAATGCAAAGCATTCTCTAAATGGTGCCCATGCTCAGCGGCTAACCTTCTGTGTTCAGAGTTCAGAAGAGCAGCTCCTGATCACAGAAACCAGAAGCTATAGGAGACCACTGTAGGAACAGTGCTTACTACAGTCATTTCCAGCTTCTAGAGGGAGCCTGCTGGTATGATATATGAATAGTTACCTCAAAATGAATAATGGGGTTGATTTCCTAAAACTGGAGAGTGCAAAATCTGGTACAGCTGTGCACAGTAGCCAATCAGCTTCTAACTTCATCTTGTTCAATTAAGCTTTGACAAAAAAAAAAAAAAAATGGAAGCTGATTGGTTTCTATGTAGAGCAGCACCAGATTTTGTATGCTCCAGTTTTAGTAAATCAACCATAATGTGTTAATAAATAATTAATGTCCACAAACAAAGTGATTATATTGTGTATGTATAGATAAATTGTGAACAGATTAACATTCCATGTAATAACCAGTTCATGCCATGAACACGTGAATGTCCTTCAACCCAAAGATCTAGACAAATCCCAGTGTGTATAAGTGAATCTTCAACCACCACCCAAGGGCAAATAAATAGATTCTCATCTTATTATAAAGACCTTCATATTATAAAGGTCTTACAATGAGTGATCCCTTTTTAAATGCTGGGATCATATTAAACCACTGACTCATGGATGTTTCTTCTATAAGTCCACAGCAGAGCAAATAAATCTGGCCATAAACGGATACAAAAATAAGACAGATAGTACTGTCTGTGTAAAAGTATGTGCGCCCTTTATTTATTTGATAAAAACACACAGTAAAATCATTATGCTCAGAGGCAAAATATTGCTTTTACAGAGCAGGTGTGTCTTGTGATGCTCCATCCTGTATGTTACGTCTATATGACATTTTCAAAGGAACTGGAACTGGAGTTCCCTGTTATATAGCAAATACCGGCGTGCCTGTGAGTCTCAAGCTGTCATATAGACTGCTACAATGGTAATGTATAACAGTAATAAACAGCACTCAGTGGGATCTCAGACCGCAGTAACTGTATAACTAGAACTGGCGGATACATCAATCTGAGGACCATGAAATGTTACATCAATTCATAACAATCCATTAAATTAAAAACTAAATTAATACTAGTATAAATACATTCATTTCTGAATCAATGCATATATATCAATACAAAAAATATAAATGAATCAACTATTTTGTGAATAAATCAGTTTGTTCAATTGCTGTGTATAATTAAATTAATCCATTAACCACAATTAGTTTATCATTAATACACTAACATCTAATGAAATAAATGCAAATATAAATTATGTAAAACAATGAAATATTATGGTATATTTTATAAAATATGAGAATAAAAACAAAATTTAAAAAATTAAAATTAAATTTGAAGAAAAAAATTAAAAAAAAAACCGCCCCTACAAATAACTGTCCTACACTACACAACTCTCATTAACTCTCACATTTACAGGTTACTAATACACTTATTAATGTCTATATCTGTATTAAGTCCTTTTGGTAAAAATGTACTTTGTGGATCCATTATGTCTCTTTTTTAGCTAACTGCCTTGGGGGAAATTGTTTTACAGAAAGTTGGTTAACTTTATGTTCTGCAGCTTTACACTTTCACATTGTTTCATATATAATAGGTGAGCACAAAGATTTTTGATTTATAGATATGCATACTTACAGTACCAATGTAGCTGATATTGGTACCAAAGCCTGACAAATGTAACTATATCTGCACCTGGAGTTCATCTTTAATTGTGTATGTTCATGGCTTTTGTTGCACTAACCCTTAGTGAACCTAATGCCATCCTCTAGCACAGGGGTCTCCAAACTATGGCCCTCCAGGTGTTGAGGAACTGCAAGTCCCATGAGGCCTTGCAAGACTCTGACAGCCACAGGCAAGACTCCCAAAGGCAGAGGCATGACAGGGCTTGTAGTACTTCAACAGCTGGAGGGCCATAGTTTGGAGACCCCTGCTCTAGCATAACTGTCCCCAGTAATCAGATATCTTCACTATGCTGCCTGTTTGGTACTAGAGAGCATCTTCTTGCAAATCATCCCTGACAGGTGGTGTCCTTCCAAGCATATAAGGTATTCATTCCAATGGAAGTTTGTACCCCATCTTCCTTAGGAATGAATGCAGACTGGACCATATAATGGGGATTTTTATGATTTCATACAGTGTTCAGCAGGAGGCAGCTAAGCAGCGACAGGTAAGGCTTGTTAGGGATGCTGGTGGAGGGCATTAGAGACTTCCTAAAGTGCATTTATCAGTTACAGAGGCAGACAAAATTAAAAAAAAAAAAAACTCAGTTTTTTTTTTTGTATAACCCAAATGTGTATTTCTGTATACTACATACCACTTTTGTTTACTTTTGCCGAGGTCTTCATCCACTGAAAACCTGGCAATTAGTTGTATATGGCCACTGAATAAAAAAAATGGCTTACCATGTTTTCTTCCTGCCCAATAATACCTACAAAAATCTTTGTACATTACGATCCTAAAGCCATTATGTCATGGGGACTTCTTGCAATGCTGGCTAGGACCTGTATCAAACCAGCTTCACCTTGGATCTAGGACACCTACAATTCTGAGATGTGGAGTCATTAAAGCTCAACTCTAGACTCAACTCATCTTTTTTAGTTTTCCAAACAAATGGTGCCCCAGTTATTTTTCTAGGGAGAAGTTGCAGCAATCTGCACCACATCTGTGGCAGGGATGAGAGGGACAGACCAGTTTCCATGCCCCTATGCTTTTCTGCTTATCAGTTAACAA